TATAGTAGATGTATACAATCTATCTTCAGAATATTTAATCAAGTATTCCAATCTTTGGAGAAGTTGTTCTTCAAATGAATATCATGTTGTTGAAAATACTGGATATATGAGATGAATGGATTTACATATACTAGTACTCAACAAATATTTGAAGATTGAACTTGTAAAAACGAAGCAAAATTTATATAAAAGCCAGACAGCTAAACAAGTTGTAGAAAAGGATAATGCTTATGTACCTTGTAAAAGTATATGACATTTCTTTGATGCTTTCTTAATACTCACTGAACCATTTATCTTCAGTGTTATTTTTATAAAAAAAGTTTTTCTATTTCCAATGTGTGTTTGGTTCTTAACATTTTAGGGAATTTTGAAATCCTTTGAAGATTTGATGAACCTAATTAGATTCTCTCCCCAGAAGAATACTTCTCTAAATCTATCTGTCAAATTTTACTAATAAATATTGCTAGAGGTTACTAACTCCTGGGGCCTAATCACTGGACTCTGGAGATCTGTGTCTCACAGGTCAAGAATCCTTGAGCTGTTTACTACTGATAAATTTTATACAGCTGTCATCTTTAAAATTTCATAAATTAAAGAAAATATATAATGTTTATTTATTTTTGAGAGAGAGAGAAAGTGTAAGAGGGGAAGGGGCAGAGAGAGAGGGAGACATTAAATCTGAAGCAGGCTCCAGGCTCTTGAGCTGTCAGCACAGAGCCCAATGTGGGGCTGGAACTCATGAATCATGAGTTCATGACCTGAGCCAAAACCAAGAGTCAGACACTTAACTGACCGAGCCACCTAGGTGCCCCTAAAATTTCATAAATTTTTAAGGTAAGCTACATTACACAGCCTTTAATTTAGACATTAAGAAGAGGTAGTTTGTTTCCCCAGTATATTTAAAGGTTATGAGTAAGAAAGAAATAACATATGTCTAGAACAACGTAGGTATAAAATGGATTAAGTACTCATGTTCAAACCTTGTACTCTAAGAATGGGGATAAAGACTGCGTTTGTTTCTATCACATTATTATCAAAGGCCAGAGTTTTAAATCCATTTCCAACTCTTGGACTAAAACTCACAAAGAGTAACTGATAGGTCATCTCATTTCTACAGTCACTTTGCTTTTGCAAAAAAAAAAAAAAAATGTGGGAAATGAAAAAGTATATTCCTTTACACACTTGTTTTTTGCATTTTTATTTTTCAAATAGCACAACCTGAGCAAACATTTTTAACATGTTTTCTTGAATTTATTATTATGGAAAATAATAGTATACAAGTAGCCACCTTTTCTTTGCACTTAGTTGTGCAAGGCACATTAGTTCTTATTATCCTTACTACCCTATGGGGTTGGTATCATTACCCTTAATTTACTAATGAGAAAAGTGAGTCAGAGAAGTTAGATAACTTGTAGCTAGTAAATGATAGTATTGGAAATTAATCACAGATTTATTTAAATTACACTGCTTTTTATAGAGAAAAATCTTATGTATGAAATCAGCATCTTCCTGTTGTTTTTAACTGCTTCTAGGAGTTTGCAGTTTCCTGTAGAGCAAGACGGACAAATACAAAGGTACATTTAGTGGCTGTATTGTTAAGTGTATGAGGGTAGACATGCTTAATGAATATCAAAACCCAGAAAAATAGAGGCAGTACTCTTCTCCTGGTTGTCTAAAGGACAGGTTTTCCTTTCAAATTCAGTCTTCCTTACTGGGCCACTTGGTCCCCAAATGGTGCCGCATGTACTTTTTTGAAATCACTAAATCCACAGTTGTATTAAGAAATATTTTATTAACAAAACAGTAAATTCCACTTGCTTAGCATTTCCAATAATGGAGAAATTGGCCTTGCAACAGAAAAAACAAAACAAAACCCTTAGATACCCAATCACACAAAGCACTAGAAGGGTAGGGTCATGTGGCCTTTCTTTGATGTTTTGGGGATTGACCACCTCACACATTATTGTAGTATTTGTTTTTTTGTTTTAAAAAGGCAACACATTACATGGATAAAAAAGAAGCATACTCAATCAGAAAAGTTACAGTCTAGAGATGTAATCAAATTTATGCCAGGTAGTGTGAAATCCTGTTAACTGCCAACTATTCATGGAACCCTGATACATTTGGTATGAAGATACTTGGGATCTTATTCATGTCTTTTTTTTCTCTCTAGCTCATGTTCCTCTCTTTTCTTTCTCCATTCAAAAAGAAAGAAAGAAGAAAAAAAATTGCTAGATTTTGTGTAGGCCAATAACATTAAAAATATTTTTACTGACAATATTAGATCATTGCATGAAATTTTAAAATTTATGCTGGAAAGAAATATTGAAATCAACCCCAACAACATCCTTCATAGATATACTTCTTATAAATACCATTATTTATTTTCTATCATATTTTAGAATCTTTCCAGATGGAAACTAGTTTGAGTTCAATAGAGCAAATGGAAAAGCAACCATTTCTTTGTAAAACCTCAAGATGTAAATTAGTGGTTTCATATTTACCTTCTTATTTCACTGGCTTTCCCTGAGTAAGACTGAATTAGAGAAAAAAAAAAAAGACATGAATTCTTAAAGCGAGCAAATTAAAAAAAAAGAAGAAGAAAATCTGAAACACAAGTTATGGATACTAAATTTTAGTTTTAAACCTCCACTTTCTGGGTCATGAAAAGCCTTTTAGACTTTTCACACACCACAATTACTTGGCAACCATAGTGGTGATTTGCTATGAATTATACATATTTCTAAGGTGCTGTATGTCTGAAATCCAGGCCACTTCTTGGCTTTTTTCATCAACTGAAGTATCGCAAAAGATGTTTTGCATTTTTTGCCTTTGCTGATTAAAGCTCATGGTAAAGGTATTCTCTTTTATGAAATCTAAAATCATTCTTTTAGGAGATGTTAAAGTAATGCGACCAATTTTTACTGAGGCATCACCTTCCAATCTAATAATGCATTTCCTTTGCATTACCTGCTCATATTAATAATTTATTGCTATGAACATCATTGAAACAATATGCAAAAACAAGTGTGTCATCTATACTTTTCTATCGCTTAATGTGTGTTAAACTAAAACTATATTTAATGATATATATGTAAAACCAGAAAAGTTAAAATATGGTCAATAATCAACAGAGAATGATATTTTTAGATGGATACTAACACAATTGTTGAAAATACTTTCTTAGTTGAGAAAATGTTTACTTTCCAAAGTATTTATCATGCACATCAGGTTCAGAGTGTGTGTGTGCGTGTGTGCGTGTGTGTGTGCGTGTGTGTGCGTGTATATATATATATATATATATATATACACATGATTTTATTGGAAACAAAGTTTTCAATTGCAGCAGCCAGGGTTAAGCTGTAGATTAACCAATTTTGCTTCTGTAACCTCCCAACATAATGTTTCATATTCATGCAGCAATACACCAGTGATATTCTATTTGGTAAGAAAAGGTTCCATTTCATTAGGGACTAAAATCTTCCCAGGGTTTCTTGGGAGCATGACCTCAATGAAGCAAATCACCCCATTTGTCACTAATACCTTGGCACAACTATCTTCCTTCCTTCCTGCTTTTCAATTTGTCAGTAAATATTTGCTGTTATATATATGTTCAGGTTTTCCATCATATCTGATGGATTCCTCTGGATGTGTGTGTCTGTGTGTGTGTGTGTTTGTGACTGTAAATGGTGAAAATATATGAAAAATGTGAGTATTTGGGGGAGAAAAGAAGATTATAAGATACATATGTATATATTTTACCTTCTAATTCACACCTTTCATACAAATACTAAAACTTAATTGCAACAGAATGAAGGCTGTACATGTTAGAAAAAAAAAGTAGCTGAGTCTTTTTATATACATTCATACATATCTTCCTTAGAATAAACACTACATTGTAATTTTTTTTAAAAAAGTAAGTAATTGTGGCAATTTATAATGGTGGCAAAAAAACAAAAAACAAAAACCAAAACCAAAACCCTGAAATAATTGTTGCTCCGATGTCATAAAACTCCCTATACTTAGCAACACTTATAACATTGAATTTACCAAAAATGGCTGAAGAGCAGAGATATATTTTGCATTTTCTATACAACAGGCTATAAAACGTCACTTATCACAGTCCAGAAAGCACACAGAGATGGATTTTATATAAACATATGTAATAACATATTAAGCGTGCATGAAAATTTCCCAATGATTGCATCTATGCCCTCTTGGGTTTTTTTTGTTTGTTTTGAAATTTTAGTGTGAAAATGTGCCTTATATTTCACATTGTTGAAAATAAGGCCTCCATACTTTTTTATTCTCTCACAACCAGAAAGGGGCTTTTTGAATGTGTTCCTACACAAGTCTTCAAAAAAGCCAGCACTTTGTTTCAAATGCAAGTTCCAACCACTGTTCCAGCTGCGCCAGGGGGTAAACCCAAAGGTTTGCAGTGTGGGTCATTCCAAATGACACCGTCTTCTCTGGCAATCGGGCTAACTGACTTCTCAGGAAAGCGCTAGCACTTTGGCTAAATCCAGGATCATAGGTAGCTTCTTTTTTTTTTTTTTTTTTTTTTTTTTTTTTTTTTTTTTTTTTTTTTTTTTGGTGTGTGTGTGTGTGTATGTGTGTGTGTGTTGTGTGTTGCGTTGTTTTTGTGTTGTGCCTTGATGTTGTAATACTCCTTTGCTTTATGAATGCGTGCGGTCATCACTGTCTTTTAGAAATGTTCCAGCAACATAAAGACAGGCAGAGTAAATGAAAACACTGTGGATGTTAGGGAATTTATTGGCCCCTGTTTGTTTTTGTTTTTGTTTTGTTTTTCTTTCTTTTTTGGAGAAACAAGAGCATGAGATACTTGTTTTTATTTTTTTAAAAACAGTCTTTCCTTCCTGATTGCATTCCCTGTCTTCTTTTGTATGTGCTTCGTAAAAAGGAAAGTAAATAAGTTTATATTATGTCTCAGATAAAATGAAGACTATTTCTATACAAGGGTCTTTTTTAAGATCTTGGGATCAGACGTAATACTCTTTATCCTTGTTTTTCTTATTTTTGTTGGCGCTTTTCGCACTGCTGGGTTGTTTCTCCTTTACAACAGCCCCGTTGGACTGTGCTGAGTTACTGATGTAGTTTCGACTCTCGTCCACATGATACGAGCCTTCATCCCGGTTTCTGTACTTGTACATGGCATAGAGGAGAATGAGAATGCACAGGGCGGCGGCAGCTACGATCCCCACCACCATGCCTGTGGTGCTGCTGGACTCCCGAATCACTTCCGCTGAGCCTGGGTACGGCTCTCGCCCGCCTGCTCGGGTTGGGTTAGCTGTAGAAAAGAAGGGGAGAACAAGGTAGTGTGATTACTGAGTTCACCGAATGCCCAAGAGCTATATTAACATGTACCATCTATTTGCATGCCTAAACGAGTAACACCTACGGCTTTAGGAAAGGTATTCTGCTGCTGCTAAATGTAGCAATCCCTAGGCCTCATGGTCACTAGAGACTAGGGACTAGGAATCAAAGCACTTGGGGAGAGATCTGTTGCCATCTTTTCTTTATCAAAGATCAATTTTATTAACATGATATTGTAAGTGCAGCCCCAAATAAGCTTCTGTAGCTCTTAAGGGCCACGTTGATGTGTTAGGTGAAAAATTATAAACCCAACATGGTAAATACAATCATAATGACACTACCTTATACTATCAGAGGGTATTAATTTAACAACCAAATTGAGGTTCATATGGAACACTTGGGCTAGCTCTGGAATCTGAATTATTATAGCTAAATTTAGTATTATTTTAGAAGTCATAGTGCCTCATACAGTAATGAATACAGTATTGAACAAAAAGATAATCTAGGCATTTTGAATAGACTAATTGCTTGCTCGTAAAACCGTGATGTTAGTCACAGTTTACAAACTAAAATAAAAATAAATCCTTTTGTGTTGGAGGTTTTATTCACATAAGTATATATGTATCATCCATTCATTAGCAGTGGTTGAGTGATGACCAAAACTAAATTTGGGAGGGAGAAGTAGGAAAATATTTTTTTCTCAGTTTTATAGGCTATCTAGGTTGGGTATGAGTCAAATTTCAGTACTTAATAGATAATGAATAAAAGACTGGCTTGCACATTTTTCTTCTACTGGCAAAAATCTCATTGTTTCCAAAGGATAAATAAAGCTCTTCCATGAGTATAAGAAATGGATTACAGGGTGCATTAATATCTTCTCCAAGGCATAGTTAGGCACCGAAACTGGGGATAAATGGAGAGAAAAAGTCCTGGGATTTAATTTGTAAATGGGGGTGGGGCACCTATTTTTCTCTACACAATAAACTTCTTCTTTGAAAGAATTTTTAGAAGATAAGCAACTGTACAGAGATAAAAATCTGTCCTAGCTCTGACCCTAGGTCATTTTCCTCTATGGTTTATGTTTTCTTTCTCTGAATCTGTGTCCTCTCTTTTGTCTTACAGAAAAAAAGATTACTTTTCAGACGTAGTGGATTAAAAATGCTATAATTTTCAAAATATTATTTTTTCTAAATTAGGCAGCATGAATTAAAATAATCTCAGGGTTGTATATATATCAGATATATAGGTATGTGTGTGTGTGTGTGTGTGTGTGTGTGTGTGTGTGTGTGTATGGTTTGTGTGTTTATAGAAATTGAACAGTTCAAGAACACTAAAGTTGTGCTTTTATTATACTACTATTAAACATCATTTAGTAGCTATTTTTTAATATTTTTACAAAATTTCCTATTTAATACTGGGAGTAATTTATCAGCCATAGCTCTGTACTGCTTTGTAATTCCATTTCCGAACATCACCAAGGTTTCTTCTGCCTAAATGTGGGTTTCTTGCTGTCACTTTCCTTTCCTTCCCCAAACAAAGCCTTACAAATATAGTCACTTACAAAGTAACAGCTCTTGGTCTCAAAGCAGCAATATGCTGTGTTCTGGAGCTGTAAAATGTATCAGGTGAAACCTTTCTATGCTGAATATGTCACTGCTTGTTTTACAAAAGCCCATGTAATGTTGCTGAATAAAAAGCCTTGGAGTTGCTCCTGTGGCCAAGGTGGAACCAGACAAAGACTATAATCCACAGCATTTGATTACAGGAAATTAATTTCCTCTCAAGAAGAATAGAATGTACTGCAGGAACTCTGTCACTACCTCACAAACCAGAGGCAGCACTTTCTCTTTCAAATACAGTCATCTTTGCCAAAGTCTGCCAATTAACTCAGCTGCTAACTTTCGCTAAATGACAACTTTTTACTTGCTCATTTGTGGATCACTCTTTTAACATGGTGTCTCAAGAGCTAAAGAAAGGAATTTATTTAAATGTTACCTAAATCTTTTCCCCCAACCTGATGGTGTGTTTTTATTTTAAACACATTTTCGTAATTATCTCACTTTGTCTGTCAGAAAAGAATAGGGAGAATGGAGACAAAATCTTAACCATATAGTTCATGCTAGGAAGATTTGAGAGTTTTAAAGAAATGCAGGGTTTAAATGTTCTATACTAAGAATGTATATGTTCATTTTTTTCTAGTTAGGATTTGGTATCCTAAATGGACTACCTTATCCAAGAATTGTAATCTTATTTTTATCTGCTCAAATATTTCTTTATTATTTTATTTTATTTACCAATTTACTTATTTTTTTTTTGAGAGAGAGAGAGAGGGAGGGAGGGAGGGGCAGAGGAAGGTGGAGAGAGGAATCCCAAGCAGACTCTGTGCAGCACAGAGTCTGACTTGGGGCTTGATCTCACAACCTGTGGATAATGACTTGAGCCAAAATCAAGAGTCTGATTCTTAACTGACTGAGCCACCCAGGCACCCACTGCTCAAATATTTCTAATCTATGTTCACAACAACTGTGTAGGCAGCACAGCAGCCACAAATTGATATCAACAATTGATGTTACAAGAATGAGATGTAAAGACCAAAGCAAAGCCTCAAACGCTTCAAGTCTGCCATACAGGCATTCGATAAACACCTCCTATTTAAGGAAAATACTTGCCTTTTTTTGCAACTCCAGCCAAAACGTTGCCTAAGTCACATGCAGGCCTAAAAATATCTCTGTAACCCATATGTAAATAAAGATTCTAAATATCGTTTTTTAAAAATAACCTACCCAAAATGCTAAAACCCAATGATAAAACATTTTATCCTTTTTTTTCCCTGATTCACATTAAAAAATTAATAGCCACCATTGATATTATTATAGGCCTGTTTGGAATATGCAGTTGCTTCCATGTCTCACTGATTATTTAGTAATTTTTTTCTGTTTTTGCTTCAACTCTGAAGGATAAGTGACATTTTTCTTAACTTTTGTGCTAATATCAGAACTATTTATACACTAAAGACATCTCTCCCAGATGTACAATAAAAGGCTGAGAAATTTAAATACATTTATGAATTATAAATGTGGCTTCACTTATTGTTATTAATGGTTTATTTTGATGATCACTGGAAAACCTCTGAGGAAATTTCATATTAATTTAAATGTAGAGAAGAGTAGAAATGGCTCAAAAGGCTAAATGCCTTCCTATGTAATTTGACTACAATTTTATATCAAAGAGAAACTCAGTCCTCTCTTAACCCTTTATGACAATGAGAAAAACGGAATTTAATCAGCAAAATCCATAACCAATTCTTTTATTTCCTGCATTTGAGAATTTTGTATTCCCTTTACATTCCATAATACATTAAATCAAGACATTTTAAGTAAATAAAACAATCTATATGTGTTTTCTCAGCAGTGCTAAAAAAAACAAACAAATGAACTAAAATGTACTTTTACTCTATCTCCCTTTCTCTATCCCACCATGTGATGAGAATATTTTAAAAGCAGAGAAGAACACTTTGAAAACACTTATAAAAAAGAGAGTAGGGGAGGGAGCTAAAGGCATGGAATATGTACAAATTAGCAGTAATTTGTACTGCTTACAGGTAAACTGTAACTGACTTACAAGTAAAACGAAGCTAACTGGACCAGAAGCATAAGGGGCCAAGGTCCATGGAAAACGTTAGCAGGACTGGGGATGGGTATTAAATAGGCCAAAGCATGTGAGTATCCTTTGGTGTGACTGGAAACGCAAGTTAAGCTTTCAACTGCGGTGGTGGCACACATACTTTGATTTGAGGCTAGGTTGCAAGCAAAAAAAAAAAAAAAGAGTAGATGAAATATCCTAAGTGTTTATGCCCACTTATATCCTATTTCAGTGATTCATAAAGTAGAGAAGCATTGTGAATTACACACAATTTATGCAAACACTGAAACAATAGATTATTTTACTCCCATGTAATTCATGCCCATCATCATCTACCCTCAGAATCAACTGGAATGGAGTGTAAATTACAAGGTCTACTACCTGTGGGGAAAGCACATATGCACACCTGAATGGCAATATGAAGGCTTTTGATTTCTGCTGGCATTTTTGCCTAAATGATGCAGAAGCCATTTACTGCATGGGCAAGGACAAAAAGCTTTCTAAAGGGTTATAACCTCTTTCACAGAAGCTACTTGTCAACTAAATGGCTATGAAAATATTCGTGAGGCTCATGGACAGGTAAACAGGGTTATCATAATAGACAGATGAGGGGTGTCTGGGTGGCTCAGTTGGTTAAGCACCTGACTTCAGCTTGGGTCATGATCTCATGGTTTGTGGGTTCGAGCCCCATGTCAGGCTCTGTGCTGCCAGCTCCGAGCCTGGAACCTGCTTCGGATTCTGTGTCTCCCTGTCTCTCTTCCCCTTCCCCACTCACGCTCTGTCTCTCTCTCTCTCTCAAAAATAAATAAAAAACATAAAGGGCAGATGAAAACTGGTTCTTTAATTCCCTCTTTCTCTATCTCTTTCAAATATTTGGCAAGATCTGAGGGTCTCTACATAGTCTTCTTTGGCCCTAATTAATAAGGAATCCTGTATGTTAGCTCTGTGAATTTTCTTGTTTTTCATTGATTGATACCATGATTATTTATGTAGGCATAGTCTTTCATGTATTAGGACAGTTATTAACATATTTCCACATCACACCCTAAGCCAATTTATCATATCAGATAAAAATTCATTATGGAAAATGCACAGCAAATGTAAAAGACATACTCCAGTGCCTTGTCATATAAAAACATTAATAAATGCATTTGTTGCTTTCATAAAAAATTAAAAAGTAAACTATTTAAAATTCTAACTTATCCTTAAGTTTGCTGAGATAGTTATTTTAAACTACGAGGACAGGAAAAGAAATTGTCCTGATGTATGTTCTTTCTTTATTTTTGACAGTCTTTGGCAGTGCATCTGTGAGAGAGCATCATTTCCCCCAAA